CCTCCCCTCTTCTTCCTCCCTCCACCCCGCCACCTTGTGGAGAGGCACACACCAGCTCAGCACATGGCAGTTGATTTCAGCCCCTGGAGTCCATCTCCAGCATCCTGATCATCCCTTCTTCCCATTCCCACATTTCCAGATGGTGGCCTTGCTGCTCTAGGAGCACCTATGAACAGCCCTGGGCCCCTAGGGCCTCCTATCCCGGCTTGCCAGACTGCTCTGGCTTCCCGGCGTTTCTGCATTGCCTCTGAGCTTCCTCCCTGCTCTCTTTGTCCTTCTCCTCCTTCTTCAGTGAACCAGCTGGGTGGAGCTGGGCTCCTGGCAGGGCTTGTGTGAAAACTGATTGTGAAAGAGAAGGCGAGAGGGGGAAATGACGGAAATGCAGGAGGCCGCCCTGACAGTACAAAGGAGGCAGGAGGAGCCACGGGCTCAGATGTGCCGAGTGCCAGGACACTCCCTGGAGGGTGGGATGGGAGGGGGACCCTGACACGGGAGAGCAGGTGGGTCTGTGGACCCAGCTCCGAGTGGTGCTGGGTAAGATGCAGCCTGGAGCCAGGCAGGAATGCACGGGCCGCTCTGAGCCTCTACGGCGTGACCCTGGCTGAGGTGTCCCATAAACCCCCAGGAGCGAGTGACTGTGTGCACACAGTGCCAAGTCAGCGCAGGAGTGTTGTGTTAAAGACACCCCAGTGCAGGGTTGCCTGAGCTCCTCTTCCCCAGCAAATATCCCTGCTGTCAGGTGACTCTCCGTGTGGTCTCTCTTTTCCTAGGACGAGCCCTTCCTGAGAACCGCCCGGAACAGTAACTACACGTACCCCACTACGCCAGCCATTGAGGTAACCCACACGCCATGTCTGCCTGCTGGGTCCAGGCGTGGCACGGGGCCAGTGTGTTCCCTTCTTGCGTGCGGAGACTGGCATGTCCAGGAAGGCTCTCAGCCCCTGAGCTGGGCTGCCCTGGCTGGTTCTTGGGTGGCTCGCCCAACGTCAGCAGCCACCAGACAAGACCTGTGGATTGGGTTCCTATGACCTCTGCAGTCCATGCTCACGGCTTCTGCTGCCATGCTCACGGCTTCTGCTGCCTAGCTCAGGCTTTCCAGAAGAGACGCGGGTGGGGGTGGGGGCAGGGAAGTATGGTTGTGACCCTAGCTGGCTTCCTGTGAGGTGGAAGATGGGCTGCAGGGGCTGGGCCCGAAGGAGGCCGAGCCACGTTCACGTGGTCCCAGGCCTCACGTTGTTCAAGTCCTCGGTCTGGCCCAGAGGATCTGGCACCCGTGGCTTTAGGGACAGCAGCCTGGTCCCTACCAGCACAGGCACTCAGCCCACAGCTGCAGACATACCCCATGGTGTGTCCGGTCCTATGCTGGGGCTGGGGAACTCAGAGCATCAGGGTGAGGTCCTGCCCAGGAGGGAAGAGTTGTATGCCAGCTGCTGCCCAGGGGGACAGAGGCGGGAGCAGACAGACGGCCCTACCCTCAGGAAGCCTACCGTCTACAGGGGCAGGGCATCCCACCTAGCTACACTGGGCAGCTTAGGAGGGTGCCAGGGAGGGTGCCAGGCTGGCAGGGGGACAAAGCCAGATATGTCATGTGATCAGGTTGGTTCTTGGAGGGCAGGTATGAGCTGGACGCACCTCATGAAAAGATGCCAGTCACGTGGACCAGAAACAGAGACCCAGGCAGAAGGCCAGGAGCACAGAGGCTCAGGAGTGGGTCTGAGCTGGGTGACTGAGGCAGAGAAAGGTCAGAGTGGTGGGGCTGGGGGTTGTGTGTGGACGAGGAAGAGTGGGGAGACGGGATCATCCCCAGGGTGCTGGGGGCTGAGTCACGCAGAGCCTGGTCCCTGAGCGGAGCACTGGACCTCAGGGGAGAGGCGGAAGCCCTGGAGGCTCAGGCCAGGGCACCATCGGGGTCAGGTCCTGAAAGGTCCCCGACTGGCGTGCCGGAAGGGCCGGGGAGGCAGGAGTGGCGGGAAAGGCCTTGACAGGCGGAAGGGGCGGGCGTGCAAGAAGTTAGCAGGCTGTCGGTGGCTAAGCTCTGGTGGGCAGTGCTGTTGTGAGCCTCGCGGGTCCCTATGGGCTCAGCAGATGGAGGCCAGTCCTCGGCAAGCATGACACTCCGTGGTAACACATTTTGCAGGCAGGTGTCTACTCATTGGAGGCCTGCAGGAGGCAAGTGCAATCTAAGGGGGTGGCTGTGGGCAGCCGGGTCTTCGGTCCCACGGGCCCTGGCCTCTGTGCTGGGAGAGTTAACACCCAGGCCTGGGGGATGTGTGTGCATGTGTGAGTGTGTGTGTGAGGGTGTGCACATGTGTGAGAGTGTGTGTATGTGGGTGTGTATGTGTGTTTACGTGTATGTGAGTGTTAGTGAATGCATGTGCATGTGTGAGTGTGTGTATGTGTGTGTTTACATGTGAGTGTGAGTGTGTGTGTGTATGAGTACATGTGTGAGAGTGAGTGTGCAAGAGTTTGTGTATGAGTGTGTGTGTATGTATGGGAATGTGTATAAATGTGTGTGCATGTGTGTGTGTGTATGAATATGTGTTTATGTGAGTGTGTGAGTCTGTGTGTGAGAATTAGTGTGTGTGCTCATAGCTTGCTGCTAAAAGTAGCCACAGAAGCGGCATCCTGTGGGCCCGGAGGACACACCATTGGGTGGGCCCACCCAGGCACAGAGCCAAGCCCATGGGTGCTCATTCTTGTGGGCCGGGAAACGTGGCTCTCATGGAAGCAGAGGGCAGGACAGCAGAGCAGAGGAGGCAGGGGAGGCTGGTGAGTGGCCGCAGAGCAGCAGCGGGCGAGTGAGTGAGACTGAGCTGCTCTGTGGGCGGACTGCTGGACACGGCGATGTGCCGGACACTGTCAGACAACTAGAAGAGTGACAGGTCCCAACACAAAGAAATGACCCGTGTTTGCGGTGACGGATGTGCTAATTACCCTGACTGGACCATCGACACTACATGCATGTATAGAAACATCACACAGTCCCCCATAAATACGGACACGCCCATGTCAATTACAAATAATTATAAAAGCGCTAGGCATGGCAGCTCACACCCATAACCCCAGCACTTTGGGAGGCCAGGCTGGGAGGATCCCTTGAGCCCAGGAGTTCAAGGCTGCCATGAGCTAGGAGTGCACCACTTCACTCTAGCCTGGGCGACAGAGCCAGACCCTGCCCCTAACACAGTAATAATAAAAGCAAAATGGATAAAGTAGCCACAGACAGGCGACATCGGCGTGACCTGGGAGCTTGCTAGACATGCAGAGTCCTGGGCACCTGACCCCTGACCTGCTGGGTCCACATCTGCTGCTCAGCAAGCCCCCAGGGCGTGGAGGCTGTGCACAGTACTTCACCGGTGGCCACTGGACGCACCTGAATTCCAGCCCGTGTCTGTCCTCCCAGGGGGCCCAAGCTGGTGTCTGGCTCCGTCAACCTGCATGCTTCCTGTGGGCTAATAGCCGTGTCTCCTCTTACATCACGCTTTCCCGAGGATTTGTCACCTGCACATGCCCTTCCTTGATTTCAGAAGAATCCATGGGTGTGATGAGTTGAGCAGTCCTTGGCGCAAATGCAGCTCTCCCAGGCCGTTAAACAACATTTAAACATCACAGTATTTAAAAACGTGTCCCGATGCGGACACTTTAACCAGTAGTCCTCATCACCTCTGGCAGCATGGTCCCGCCGGTGGCCACCACCTGTCGCACTCTGCACGCAAGCAGGGATCTGGGCTCTGGAGGGTCACTCTCCCGGCTTTCCAAGCTAGTCTTTCCTGCCCTCTGCTTCCCCCTCGCCTCCCCCCAGCACCTGGAAATGAGCTCGGTCTAAGGTAAGGAAGGCCGACGGATTGTGCTCAGGGTTGCCTTCAGTAAGTTACACATGCGGAATCAGTGGCTCTCACATTAAATGTGCAAGGAATATCCAGTGATCCAGAAAAGATGTGCAGAAGTTTGGGAAACCAGAAGCCTTGCACCTGTAAAAGCTCAGCGTTGTTTTCCTAAAAATATTTTAACTGATTGTTGCTTAGGCCCGAGCGCTGTAGGTAGTGACAATCAGCTGAATGCCAAACAGCAGCACAGAGACATGCCTGTGATCCCTTGTCACATCCTTACAGCCCCAGCTACTGGCTTCCTTCCAGGTGGAGCTGAGCCGGGATGGGCAAGTGGTGAGGGCTGGGACAGGAAAGCAGTGAGGACCAGGATGGGAGGGCTGTGAGGGCCAGGAGAGGAAGGCAGGAGGGCCAGGGTGGGAAGGCCATGTGGTCCAAGTGCAGTCTGGGAGGTCATGTGGGTCGGGAGCTATCTTGGAGGGGAAGACCATGTGAGCTGGGTACTCTCTGGGATGGGCAGGCCGTGTGGGCTGGGATGGGAAGGCTGTGAGGACCAGGCACTGGCTGGGAGGCCGTGTGGTCTGGGCACTGTCTGGGAGGCCATGTGGGCCAGGCGTTACCTTGGAGGGGAAGGCTGTGCGGGCTGGGTGCCATCTGGGACAGGAGGCCTTGAGGGCTGGGCACTGTCTGGGACGGGAAAGCTGTATGGACCGGGTGCTGTCTAGGACAGGCTGGCCATGGGGGCCGGGCACTGACTGCTGTGCATGGGGGAGGGCCAACACCCGCTTCCCGCCTCTGGTCCCCTTGCAACCCATTTGCAGCGTTTCACTCCCACGGTCCCTTGTGTGATGCCCTTGCTGCACAGTGAGTGCTGGGTGCCATGTCCTTTCTCCTGCTAATTTAGAACTGGGGCAGTGACTTTCTGTGCATGGAGTGGAACCCTTCCAGCAGCAGCCCGACCTCTGGTGAGTGGAATCGCCACCTCCTGCAGGGCCCTGTTGAGGGCGGCCTGGGTGGGAGACCCCACACACACCCCGGGTGTGAGTGGGCCTGCGGGACCCATGGGTACGGGCCTAGGCCCTGGGCCAGGGAAGCCGCCTGCAGCTGCATGGGGTCCAGCCGGGCATGGTCTCTCCATGGGCCCTCTGTTCATCTCCTTCTGGGTCATGGGACCCCCTGTGAGGCAGGCACCACCAGGCCTGGGACTCTGAGCCATGCAACACTTGCAGCTAGGCTACCCCCCGGGAACAGGGCTCTCTAAGGTGGGGTGACAGCCTTTAGGAGTCTGCTGCCCGCTGTGCCTTGAGGACTCCCAGAGAACAGGAGAGGCTGGAGTGCTGGAGCTCAGGCTGGAGACACGGGCAGGGGGCCCTGGGGGCCGGGCAGGCACCAGCCCCAGCACAGGTCCTGCTTTAAAGGTGGACTCTGTCACCCCTCCCTGACACACGTCTCTCTTCTTGCCTGTTCCCCAAGTGCATAAGCTCCGACCAGCAGACATCAAAGTGGTGGCCGCAATGGGGGACTCACTGACGGTGAGCACTGAGCCAAGAACTGGGGCAGGCACTTGGGGCAGGGTGGGCACTGGGGAGGCTTGGGGTGGGGCAGGGTGGCACTTGAGGGGGGCAGGCACTCGGGGCGGGGAGAATGGGGGACGCTCAGGATAGGGTGGGCACTTAGGTCAGGGTGGGCACTAGGTGTGGAACAGGGTGGGCTCTCAGGGCAGGGCAGACAGTCAGGGCAAGGTGGCACTAGAGGCTGGG